TCATGTTTTTATCAATACATCTGTACTGGAGTAGATTTATTTGATTACGTTGACAGTCTCTTTTAATATTTACTTTCATGTTTTTATCAATACATCTGTACTGGAGTAGATTTATTTGATTCCTATGATTAAAAGTTTTAATGAAACCAGAACTTTAACTTCTAATGAGATTTTCAAATTTTCCACAAAAAGTTTGGGATTAAAATATTGAATGAACATGAATTTGTCCGAGGGGGAGGGGGGTGAATTCCCCCCTGGTAAGTCTTAACTTAACCCGGGGGGAGGGGGAGGGCTTGGTCCCCCCAGATTACCTCATTAAAATCTGTATCAATTCATTTATTTGTTCAGATTTTTAGAAGGTTCCAGATGTGCGACAGTTGTAAAAATTGCTTTAGGTCAATGAGAGATCGCAAAAGTATGAGTCAGCTGCTTTTTACGAATTAAACTCTTAATCACATCAAATCAAAAGTTCTTCTGTGGATAAAGAGTTAAGGCGTTTCAGAAGGAAGGCACGAAAATAAGGAATTATTGTGTCAAAAACAAAAATTTAATAATTCACCTATTTCTTTGCCACCTGATGGGGTAAACCCTAGTTATTTTAAACTTAGATTATTTGATCTAACAGAAATTTCATAGTTCATAGAAATATCTAAAGTCTTTGATATTGGGTTGCAAAGGAAAATCCTAGTTTTTTTGTCATATATAAATTTCTTTTCATGAATTTCCTAAGACTTAACATCTCTCTTCCTTGGCTATACTCCTGGTGAAGTTGAGACATACTGTGCTTTCTTAAATGAAATAAAGTTTACTTAACCTGACTTGACCTGACTTGACCTGACTTGACCTAACTTGACCTGACTTGACCTGACTTGTCCTGACTTGACCTGACTTGACCTGACTTGACCTGATTTGACCCTTCTTGAAACTAGTTTTCCTCTCCACGATCGCGAGTGAGGACACTGTGCGTACAAAGAGTAAAATATTTGCCAGCAGCAGAATAATTACTGGGCTACACAAAACACATTTTCAAAAGTAAAAATCAAAAAAGGTTTTTTAAAAATAAAATATCTTCGGATAGAACTATGAGTAAAAATTCATGTTTTCTGTATTTCCTGTAGAAGTAAAGTAAAATTTCCATATTTCCAAAGAACCAGCAACCTCGCTCTCCAAACCTTGGTCTAAATATATAGATATGTTCAGTTTTAATATTTAGATATGTTTGGTATAAATATATAGATATGTTTATTTTAAATATTTAGATATGTGTGGTCGAAATATATGATATGTTCAGTTTAAATATTTAGATATATTGGTCTAAATATATAGATATGTTTATTTTAAATATTTAGATATGTGTGGTCTAAATATATAGATATGTTCATTCTAAATATTTAGATATGTTTGGTGTAAATATATAGATATATTCATTCTAAATATTTAGATATGTTTGGTACAAATATATAGATATGTTTATTCAAAATATTTAGATATGTTCATTCTAAATATTTAGATATGTTTGGTATAAATAAATAGATATGTTTATTCTAAATATTTATATATGTTTGGTTTAAATAAATAGATATGTTCATTCTTAATATATAGATATGTTCATTCTAAATATCTAGATATGTTTGGTTTAAATATAAAGATATGTTAATTTTAGATATTTATATATGTTTGGTTTAAATATATAGATATGTTAATTCTTAATATATAGATATGTCCATTCTAAATATCTAGATATGTTTGGTTTAAATATATAGATATGTTAATTTTAAATATTTATATATGTTTGGTTTAAATATATAGATATGTTAATTCTTAATGTATAGATATGTTCATTCTAAATATCTAGATATGTTTGGTTTAAATAAATAGATATGTTCATTCTTAATATATAGATATGTTTGGTTTAAATATATAGATATGTTAATTCTAAATATATAGATATGTTTGGTTCAAATATATAGATATGTTAATTTTAAATATTTATATATGTTTGGTATAAGTAAATAGATATGTTCATTTTAAATATTTAGATATGTTTGGTCTAAATATTTAGATTTGTTCATTCTAAATATTTAGATATGTTTGGTCTAAACATGAAGATATAATCATTATGAATATTTAGATATGTTTGGTTTAAATATATAGATATGTTCATTCTAAATATTTAGATATGTTTGGTATAAATAAATAGATATGTTCATTCTAAATATTTATATATGTTTGGTTTAAATATATAGATATGTTAATTCTTAATATATAGATATGTTCATTCTAAATATCTAGAAATGTTTGGTTTAAATATATAGATATGTTAATTCTAAATATTTATATATGTTTGGTATAAGTAAATAAATATGTTCATTCTAAATATTTAGATATGTTTGGTCTAAATATTTAGATATGTTCATTCTAAATATTTAGATATGTTTGGTCTAAACATGAAGATATAATCATTATAAATATTTAGATATGTTTGGTCTAAATATAAAGATAAAATCATTCTAAATATTTAGATATGTTTAGTTTAAATATATAGATATGTTCATTCTAAATATTTAGATATGTTTGGTATAAATATATAGATATGTTCTTTCTAAATATTTAGATATGTTTGGTATATATATATATATATAGATATGTTCATTCTAAATATTTAGATATAATTGGTATAAATAAATAGATATGTTCATTCTAAATATTTATATATGTTTGGTTTTTATTTATAGATATGTTCATTCTAAATATTTAGATATGTTTGGTATATATATATCAAATCAAATCAAATCAAATCTCTTATTAGGCCACAAATTATACAATGTACATACATATAAATGCTAATTGAAAATAACAGACAATTAAGAGTATATTGTGGCCGGGGAGCTACAAGATAGCTCAGGCTGTTTACACATGAGCTCCCCTGGTTCAGCATAATATAGATAAGATTTAAACAATTTTCTATGTGCATGAATGGAGCACATAAATGGCGGAGTGTAGCAGCGGTGGCGGTTGGAGAGCAGGAGGCGGAGAAATGGCATCAAACTTATCAGTCAGGAATAAAACAGTTAAGGGCTCAATAATGTTTTAGTCGGTTCTTGATCAAGAAACATTTTTAATACATGTTATTTCGATCATATAGATATGTTCATTCTAAATATTTAGATATGTTTGGTATATATGTATATAGATATGTTCATTCTAAATATTTAGATATGTTTGGTATATATACATATAGATATGTTCATTCTAAATATTTAGATATGTTTGGTGTAAATATATAGATATGTTTATTCTAAATATTTAGATGTGTGTGGTCTAAATATATAGATATGTTCATTCTAAATATTTAGATATGTTTGGTCTAAATATATAGATTTGTTCATTCTAAATATTTAGATATGTGTGGTCTAAATATATAGATATGTTTATTCTAAATATTTAGATATGTTTGGTGTAAATATATAGAAATGTTTTTTCTAAATATTTAGATATGTTTGGTATAAATATATAGATATGTTTATTCTAAATATTTAGATATGCTTGGTCTAAATATATAGATATGTTCATTTTAAATATTTAGATATGTTTGGTCTAAATATATAGATATGTTTATTTTAAATATTTAGATATGTGTGGTCTAAATAAATAGATATGTTCATTCTAAATATTTAGATATGTTTGGTGTAAATATATAGATATGTTTATTCTAAATATTTAGATATGTTCATTCTAAATATTTAGATATGCGTGGTCTAAATATATAGATATGTTCATTCTAAATATATAGATATGTTTGGTATAAATATATAGATATGTTTATTCTAAATATTTAGATATGTTTGGTATAAATATATAGATATGTTCATTTTAAATATTTAGATATGTTTGGTGTAAATATATAGATAATGTTTATTCTAAATATTTAGATATGTTTGGTATATATATATATATATAGATATGTTCATTTTAAATATTTAGATATGTTTGGTATAAATATATAGATATGTTTATTCTAAATATTTAGATTTGTTTATTCTAAATATTTAGATATGTGTGGTCTAAATATATAGACATGTTCATTCTAAATATATAGATATGTTTGGTATAAATATATAGATATGTTCATTCTAAATATTTAGATATGTGTGGTCTAAATATATAGATATGTTCATTTTAAATATATAGATATGTTTGGTATAAGTATATGAATATTTTTGGTAAAACTATATGAATATGTCCATTCTTTATATATATATATAAAGATATGTTCAATCTAAATATGTAGAATGTAGATATGTTCTGTCTAAATATATAGAAATGTTCGGTGACCAAAAAAAATTTTTGTCTGAAGGCTAAATTTTGTAAAAAAAAAAGTGTATCATTGCATGGAACGAAAAGAATGAACGCAAGAAAAAAAGAAAGAAAAAAATGTGTAAAGCCCTCTATAAAGTTTTATCCTTTGTGGGTGATCTTGTAATGCATAGAATCACATAAAACTTAAACACTTTTTCTTTCATTAAAGAAGGGAAAAAGATATTTTTAGCCTTTTTCTGAAGAATGATATTAGATTCATCGGAAATAATGAGTTCACAATTTGATTCATCTTAAAGAGATTGTTCGGTGACATTAGGGACAGACTATCTCAGGGGGGGGGGGCATATTTGCAGGAGTAAGCGAGCCAAAAGAAATGTTGGCCCCCCCTCAAAATTAAACAAAAAGCAGTAAATTTCCAATTTCTTATTATTATCACATTTTGAGATTTTTATTGAGATTGATTAAGCATAAGTATCATATCGGTATTTATCTTTCACATTTTTACATATCTAATCAAAGGTAATAATGTAAGTGATTATCTTTTTTGAGCGCTTAATAATAATTTTATAAATCCTTTTTTTTACATGTTTAATGAATTTTTTCAATGATAACCAGACAACTCTGACCTTTAAACTCAAGTTAAGAATCAAACTAGTTCAATGAACATTAGACATAGCAATTGTACACTGTAGATAGACCCACTTCACTTAAATTGTGCTTTACTGATTTACTACAGTGAAACCCTTAATAACGAATACATCGAAAGAATTCATCAAATGTCGTATTCTTCACTTTCTGATAATGGAATGTTGCAGATATTTAGTTTTTTATTAAATGTTATAAGGAACTCTTTAAAACTGTTCCCGCATATTCATGGCTATTTATTTATTTTCGCAAATACTGAAATTTACGTAATATAGTATAAAACTCATTGAAAAATTGTCAAGACGACATTTGATAAATTCTTCTGATGTATTCGTTATTAAGGGTTTCACTGTAGTACAAATATTTGCTTTGTAACAACATCAAAATTCTTAAGTTTGCAATAATGTCGTCTTCCTTTTCTATTAATTCTGGTGATCACTGCATGAGAAATTTTAAAAGGTATTTCCGTTTAGGTGATTTATTCAATTCTATTTTTGTTGTTTCTTACATCCCTTAATGCTTTTATTTCATATCATGAATATCCCTAGGGGGGGCTGGCCCCCCCTCCAGGAGCATAGGGGGGGCCATGCACCCAGGCCCCCCCTGAATAATGGTTATGTTACTGAAATGTCATTTTAGGCGAGGTTATNTTATGTTAGTAAAATGTCATTTCAGGCGAGGTTATAAATCAGCAGTAACATAAATTGTAAAACGTTTTTGCAAAAAACTAACCTGAGAAAGTTTGTATTAAGAGTTTGATCCATGATTGCTGTGATTGCTGTGATAATAAGAGGTATTCCAAACCCAAGAAGAGAATACAGTCCAAGCTGAGAAATATACATTTAAATACATCTATATTTAATCATTTCTTTTTTTTAAGGTAGCTCTTCAAAAATGTTAAAGTACACTACAGAAATACATGAAAAATCTTTATATAATGGTCAAAATTGTGTATTTAAATCAAATCACACTTCCTTTATTTCTCTGTGTAATAACATTTTATAATTATGAACTATTCAACAATTAATATAAGAATATAAGAAATTTTCGTTTAAAAGGTGAACATGTAAGTCTGATGTAATTAAGGCTGGGCAAGTACCAACGTTTTCTAGCCGTTTCGTTAAAGGTTAGTTCCAACCGTTCAAAAATAACAATTTTAGGTAGCTAGAGCGTTAGTTTCGTTAACAGCATTTACTGTTCTTTTTATATTACCATTAGTTAACAATCTCAATTTTTTTAACGACGTTACAGGAAAATTTTCAGCAATCGTTAACGGCTTCAGTTATTACGGTCTTTTACATTATTAACGGTGCGCAGCGCTGGAAAAAATTCGTTAACGGTTTAAAGATCGTTAACGGGTGCGCTGTTGCGGGTCTATTTCTTTGCAAAGCACCGTTAACGGTCTTATGTAGTATTAACGGCGTAAACTGTCAAATCTTTAATGGCACTAGCAGTTGAACTATATTTATTCTTTTCTAAATATCCAAATCAACTATATTCATCCTATTCTGAGGAGAACCCAGATTCTTTCACCGCAGGACAAACTTCAAATTTTTTTTTATTAAAATTCATAGGTATCTTCTATTGTATATTCTCAGCATTTAAGGTTGTGAACACAGTCGACATTTGAAAACATCAAAACACGTAAAAATATTTTTTTAAAAGTTTAATGCAATCTTACGCAGAAAGAAAATTCAACGTTTTAAAAAAATCCGTTCCGTTTTAGTTTTCAACCGTTAATTTTGTTCTCAAAAACGGCTAATCCTTTTCGTAATGTATGTACATTAGCATTTTTACTCTAAAATTAAAGTAGGCATAATTGAGTGCCGAAAATTGCTTTTATTTTGTCAAACATAAATAATGCTTTTTAATTTTAATATATTAGAAATTTAAAGGTTTTAATCGTATATTTTCCTTTTTGGTGGATTTAGGTCTGCCTAAGGATGGATTTGTGGTGGATACCTGCATCAGATGAAATGCTCTGAAAGTATATTCAATCATGAATTACAAAACTGTAATCTGGTGTTGCCAGGGTTTTTTAAAACATTGATTTTTGCAGTTTCCGCCTAGCTTCAGACTGGAATTAAAATCTATTTAGTTTGAAGTACCAATGGGGCCCAACTGTCGAGGATGAAGACGACCCAATGAGGCCCATCAAACTGTCGAAGATAAAGACGACACAATGAGGCCCATCAAACTGTCGAAGATAAAGACGACACAATGAGGCCCATCAAACTGTTGAAGATGAAGACGACACAATGGGGCCCATAAAACTGTTGAAGATGAAGACGAAACAATGGGGCCCATAAAACTATCGAGGATGAAGACGACACAATGGGGCCCATAAAACTGTCGAGGATAAAGACGACTAGAATTATGATTTTAAAAAGTCTAAATGAACGGAAAACATTGTCATTGTTCATATAATAAGTTGATTTCTAAACTACTGATTAAACTATTAATTAATTTATATCAACATCAAATATACATAAGATTGCATATATGTCGTCTTCCTATTCTACAGTTTAATAGGCATCTATGCAATTTTAAACCCCCACCTTGGGAGAAAATTTAGATCATTTTTTATATGAATCCAAACAAATTATTTTTCACCTGAAATGATTTAATTTCCACAGCTAAGTTTTTTTAAAATGTTGTATATGATTTTTCAATGAATTATATACCAATTGTTTTTAATAATTTTCACAAAAAAATATTTTTTGTGTGAAAAAATTACTGAAACATCTTTAATTATTTTACCAACATTTATCTGTACATAAAATTACATATTCCCTGAATTAATGAATGAAAAATCTGTTTACAAAAACATCAAAAAGATATGTAAACTAAGGAACTGCAACGGGCAACGCCGGGTACTTCTCCTTGTATATATATATGTTGGCTATAGCTGGCCAATTGGCTGACATTCTTTGTGGAAACCCTGGGTACCGTGTGTAACATAGGCTAAAAAAACATATTAAAAAAAAAACAAAAAAAGCTATAGATAGCTTGCCAAACGGCTGAACCAAATTGGCGGATTTTTTTGAGGGAACCCATGGGCGGGTAACATATGGTAAAAAAATTTGAACAATTTTTCTTCAAAATATGAAAGTTTTTTTTAAACTTAAAATTTTTTTTAAGATTCGATTTTTTTAATTCCATTTGGGCTAACAATGTAAATAATTCACCTTGAAATATCTAAGGAAAGAACCGTCATCCATGAGAACGCAGAAAGGAAAGAGAATTGAAGCAAACTTGCCACAACCTTACATAAACCCATCCTGAATAGGTAAAAATATCATTTTATACGTTTGCTGCAGATGTCTTTACTAATTGAAATAATGCATATATATATATATATATTGCTTTTTTTGACAGAACGGTTGAACTAATCGGGGCCTATATTTTTGTGCTAACTCACATGACTCTCAGGGAAGGGTTACGGGCGGTTAAAGTTAAAAAATGTTAATTTTTATGGTTTTTGAAAATCCACAAATTTGGAGATAAAAAATCTGCGACATTTTTTTATTGTAGTACGTATCAAAAATGACGACTTGAACTACAGTTCAGTTAAAAATTAAGTCTCCTAAAAAAAAGTAAGAGAGACTTCTTGCTCCATTGTAGAAAACTTTTAGATTTTCAAATCCTTAATTTTCCTGTTTTGACATCGTGGATTTAGATTTTACAACTTACTTATTGTAAATTGAGTTGCCTAGAATCTGAGTAAAGAGAAGGAGAAGCATAGCACTTAGCAGAGTAAAGCAAAGGCACTGTAAACACCTTCCAGGTACATTCCTAGAATGAATAACACTGTATCTAAACTATGGAATAAATAAACCTGTATCTAAACTATGGATTGAATAACCCTGTATCTAAACTATGGAATAAATAAACCTGTATCTAAACTATGGATTGAATAACACTGTATCTAAACTATGGAATAAATAAACCTGTATCTAAACTATGGATTGAATAACCCTGTATCTAAACTATGGAATAAATAAACCTGTATCTAAACTATGGATTGAATAACCCTGTATCTAAACTATGGAATAAATAAACCTGTATCTAAACTATGGATTGAATAACCCTGTATCTAAACTATGGAATAAATAACCCTGTATCTAAACTATGGAATGAATAACCCTGTATCTAAACTATGGAACTGTACCTAAACTCCGGTAGAATTGAATAACAGATCAGGGTTAGTAGTAGACCTAGAGAGGAGAGGGATTCTACTATAGGATACAAGATGAATCTAGCGCTACAGGACGCATTCTCATCTTTATCCTCATCCGAGTCCATCATCTCCTGCAAAATAGGGTTACCCACAAAGAATATGATTTTAATGACATTTTAAAGCAAGTGACATTAAGGATTTAAATTTGCTCTTTTAGCTACCGGGAACCAAAACTACGCTTCGTCTCATTCTTTGTGGACAACCCTAATATAACCTTAACATGATGAGTAAAATGTGAATTCTTTTAACCAACTAAAATCCGAAGTCAACATTTTTATATAAGATAATATATGCAAGATTGCGCTGATCTACAATATGATTGGCTGCGATGTTCAAAACTGAAACTTTTGACTGTGAGCGATTTAGTAATCTATGAAATAAAGCTGAATTTTATTTTGAAGATCTCTCATTGGTCTCATTTCATGTTTGATGTTTCTCCTACTTATCATTTAACTGTTTCAGGACTGATGAGGATAATATTTTGTATCGAAATATATATATCCTGAACTGTCAGTCTGTATTCTTTGGATGAGATTGCGTTAGACCTGGTTTTGTGGCTTCTAATTGGTCGGAATGTTAAAGATATTCGAATAAAATGAAATAAATAAGAGAATTAAATTAATTTTCAGGGGATTAACAAAATTCCAAATCTAAGTTTCATTAAGCATAGATCCAACCAATGTAAAAGATATCACGTTACATATCCCTAATTAACCAAAATCACGGTTTTTTTACGTTCCTGTTACGTTAATTTAAACAACGTTAAAGGTGTAACTTTACATCAGCTTCTGTATAATAAATCTTTTAACTATAGTTAATTATAGCTGGCAAACAATTTTTGAAGGAACCTTTGTGTGCCCCGGGGCACACATTTATGTTTAGTGATACACCCTGACTCTAAAACTAAAGAATGCGCAATATTTAAGTTATAGCTTAAAAGTTCTGTAAAATAATGAGTTGCTACTTAAATATTACACTTTCTCAATATAACCCTGAAGGGAAATTTGAATTTCCCGGGAAAAATCTGAACCAATCAGAGAAAAGGACTTACGGAAAGATATGACGTAACCATCGCTCATCAGCTGGTTTTAAATTTTAAATTATTTACATATCCGATAACAAAACATATTTCCAGTTACAACCGTTTTTGGGTTTACATGCAAACATTAATTAATTTAAAACGTTAAACTTATTCAATCAAGGTTTTCACTTTTCAATATAACTTAAAATTGAATGTCACTTTCTAAGCTAAATGATTATTGATTGATAATCTAATTTGGAAAATGCGGGATTACAAGATTTTAACCCTGGGTTAAAATTTTGACTCGTCGATTTTGGCGAGTAAAATGTTTTAACTCAGGGTTAAAATGCAGGTTTAAATAAAGTCAGAAGTGGCATTTTAGCTGAAACTTAAAATGTAAATCAGAACTTTTCGTTCTTTAGTTTTAGACTCTGTAGTCTGTACACAGATTTTTTATTCTGATCTAAATTAAATCATTTAATTTTGTCAAATTATTTATTGGAAAATTGACTTACCCGAGCACACACCACAACATGAATAGATATCTGGAGAATTCATATTTTATATCTTTAAAGGAATTGAGTTTCTGTCACAAACTCAATTTTTTAATTCCTATATCTTTGCAACCAAGTATCGTAGACCTTTGATATTTCAAACTATAAATTATGTTAGATAAGTCTAAGTTTAAAATATCAAAGGTTTATACCAACAGGTTGCGAAGATATAAGGATTAGAAAATTTGAGTTTGTGACTAAAACTCATCTCCTTTCATATAACATATCCAAGGTTCTCATTAAAACCTCGGTGAGTCTTAACCTTGGAACCCATTTTCATCCATTAAATGTAGATTTTTCGTATTTGCTATTTTATACTTTTTTGTTAGGCCATGTATTTTAAATTTTTAAGTATACAAGATCTCTTAAGCTATTTTTGATGGATTTTAAACAAGATATCAAATATGACTGAAAATATTCGGATAGAGACAGATATCACGTTGCTTTAGTTAGTTTTAAGTTTTAAGTTTTAAGCGTTACATGCAATGCCCTGTTTCACGGACAGTACCTGTTATAAATTGGTCATTTTAAAGATATTCTTGTTTTTTAACAGTGAGAACCAGAAAACAGTGGAATATGAAGACGACATGAAATCAATAATTAAATGTAATTGAGGTTGCTACAAAGCAAATAGTTTTACTAGTAACTTATTAAGTGAAATGGGTCTATTTACACTGCACACACTTGCTGTTTCTCGTGTAAAATGGAGTATCTAAAATCTTAACGTCAGTTTAAAAGTCGTCTCCATTATCAAGAGTTTAAAAGTCGTCTCCATTATCAAGAGTTTAAAAGTCGTCTCCATTATCTAGAGTTTAAAAGTCGTCTCCATTATCTAGAGTCTAAAAGTCGTCTCCATTATCTAGAGTCTAAAAGTCGTCTCCATTATCAAGAGTTTAAAAGTCTTCTCCATTATCTAGAGTTTAAAAGTCGTCTCCATTATCTAGAGTTTAAAAGTCGTCTCCATTATCTAGAGTTTAAAAGTCGTCTCCATTATCTAGAGTTTAAAAGTCGTCTCCAGTATCTAGAGTTTAAAAGTCGTCCCCATAATCTAGAGTCTAAAAGTCGTCTCCATTATCTAGAGTTTAAAAGTGTTCTCCATAATTTAGAGTTTAAAAGTCGTCTCCATTATCTAGAGTTTAAAAGTCGACTCCATTATCTAGAGTTTAAAAGTCGTCTCCATAATCTAGAGTTTAAAAGTCGTCTGCATAATTTAGAGTTTAAAATTCGTCTCCATTATCTAGAGTTTAAAAGTCGTCTCCATTATCTAGAGTTTAAAAGTCGTCTCCATTATCTAAAGTCGTCTTTCTAAAAATTGATCATGAACAACTTCAATTTTTCTTTAAGATTGACTTGCACAAAGAATTTATTGAAAGATATTGAGTCTTTGGCACAAACTCAAATTTTCTAATCCCTATATCTTTGTAAACTGATGGTGTAAAGTTTTGATATTTCAAACTAAGATTATTTGCTATAACAGAATTCATAGTTTGAAATATCTAAGGTCTACAAAATTGGGCTTTAAAGATATAGTGAGAAGAAAATCAGAGTTTGTGGCAAAGACTCAATTCCTTTATCTCCTATTTAGTAAAAACAAAGTGACACAAATAAAGATTTAACACCGTGTTTAAATTGAGAAACCCCATTTTTAAATACTGAGTCAATTGAAAAAAAAGTGAACAGTCTCTTTAATAAGATTTGTCATCATAGCTTCCAGCATCTTATTATACAAGAGAGAGAGAGACATGAATATTATTAGAATTCAAGAATTCAAGAACTGAATCTTGCAGTTCACTTGTCTCTGGATATGCCGCTAACCACATCAACTGTCAACACCCCCCCCCCTGGATGCCCTTCCCCCTCGCCCCCCTCCCCAGGATAGATGTCTATACATAGATAAATAAATACCTATGTTGTCTACCCTTTTCTTGAGACCTATTAGGAAAGCTCAGCTAGGAACTATATGAATATAAAACAATTAAAAACGGTGTTTAAGTGTCGGAATTTTTAAACCTTCGAAAATTGGAACATGTTGAAATGCAGTTTTATGCAGCAAAGACAAGGAAGAAAATCTACTGAATTAGTCTCTTTACAGGAGATGTAATATTTTCATTTAACATCAATGCTTGATAAATTAAAGTTTTAAAAGTGTGAAAAAAGATTAATTCTCTCCTGGTCTCCGGTATGGAACTGCTCTACACAGTACTGTTGAGGGCTGGAGGTAAAATATAAACCTAATTTCGGCATTCGCAGGGTTCCGTTCTCTAGTAACCTATTACAATACAGAGTATAGTTCTCTAGTATCCTGATACAATACAGAGATCAGTTCTCTGGTAACCTATTACATTACAGAGATCAGTTCTCTAGTAACCTAATACAATACAGAGTATAGTTCTCTAGTATCCTAATACAATACAGAGATCAATTCTCTAGTATCCTGATACAATACAGAGATCAGTTCTCTAGTATCCTAATACAATACAGAGTACAGTTCTCAAGTAACCTATTACAATACAGAATTTAGTTCTCTAGTAACCTATTACAATACAGAGTACAGTTCTCTAGTATCCTAATACAATACAGAGTGCAGTTCTCTAGTAACCTAATACATTTCAGAGTATAGTTCTCTAGTATCTTAATACAATACAGAGATCAGTTCTCTACTATCCTAATACAATACAGAGTTCAGTTCTCTAGTATCCTATTACAATACAGAGATCAGTTTTCTACTATCCTAATACAATACAGAGTACAGTTCTCTAGTATCCTATTACAATACAGAATACAGTTCTCTAGTATCCTAATACAATACAGAGATCAGTTCTCTAGTATCTTAATACAATACAGAGTACAGTTCTCAGTACAGAGTATAGTTCTCTAGTATCTTAATACAATACAGAGTACAGTTCTCTAGTATCCTAATACAATACAGAGATCAGTTCTCTAGTATCTTAATACAATACAGAGTTTAGTTCTACACAGAGTATAGTTCTCTAGTATCCTAATACAATACAGAGTATAGTTCTCTAGTATCGTAATACAATACAGAGTTCAGTTCTCTAGTATCCTAATACAATACAGAGTTCAGTTCTCTAGTATCCTGATACAATACAGAGATCAGTTCTCTAGTATCCTAATACAATACAGAGATCAGTTCTCTACTATCCTAATACAATACAGAGTACAGTTCTCTAGTAATACAATACAGAGATCAGTTCTCTATTATCCTAATACAGTACAGAGATCAGCTCTCTACTATCCTAATACAATACAGAGATCAGTTCTTTAGTAATCTATTACAATACAGAGTACAGTTCTCTAGTATCCTAATACAATACAAAGATCAGTTCTCAGTACTTATCCCCGACCGTGATCAAGTCAAATCAGTTCATGATCGTAAACTTTATGTGGGACGGACCCAAACCTCTGATTTGATTTGATAAACTTACATGAACTCCTCCTGGGGTCTGAGAACAGGATCAAGGATGGTTCTGCTAAGTTCTCCGCAATCCTCCTGAGTTAGCAAACTACTGCAGATCATCAGATCTGTGTCGGAGAGGGGACGCGGAGAAAACTCTTGCTCCAGGTCCAGCTGAGAACTAGAGGATTGAAATCTCCAGACTTGAACTAGAGAGGTGTTAAACAATCCGTCCTCACAGGATCCTTGTTTACACAAATATTTCAATTTATTTTTAAGAAAAAAAAGCTTAAAATTTCTTTTTTGGTATAACAGATTTGCTTGATTAAATCATAACAAAAGAAAAGTGTTCAGAAAAAAATCTGAATTGATGCATGGAAAATTAAAAAATAATTCGAAATTTGTATTTTTCCTGAATTCACGTTGAATATTTTGTCGGCTGCACAGCACTTCATCATATAAATCGTGGGCACCATATTTACCCCTGGTTTCAGGTCACACATTTCCCTACAAAGTGTGATTTTTTTTGTTTCATTTCAGTGAGCGCAAGGTACTAATAAAATGTAAGTTAATTGCGGTCGCGTATGCTCTGCGTACATATTGAAACCAGTTCTCTCTGGGCGGCATGTGTAAACAAGAAAGAATAGATGCATCAGTCTTCGTCTAGTATCCGAGGAGGATAAAAGCATTTAATTTTGATAATTTTGAAAATTCACAAAATAGTTTCCTATGACCAGAATATTTTATAGATTATTTTTGTGAAAATGGATTCCATGTCAGGCTGTGACATGCGTATTGTGTTTACTTTTCCGCCCAAAGTCAGTAAACTGCAGTACAACAAATGCGTACACCTCTGAAATAACTTTCCTTGCATTAGTACCTTGAGTGAGCGTATGTTCAAGTGATCCTACATGCAAAAATGGCAGATTCACTGCAGTACCCTTTAAATCTTTATCTATTCGATAATGTGGAAGATATTGGCGTTTTTTTCTAGGTTTAAAATGGTTTAATTCTTTATATTTTCTTACACTATAAATGCGCAAGTCACTTTTGGAAAGAAAACACAATTAAAAATAATCAGTTTTCTTAATTGCAAATATTGATATCTTATTCATACTTGATTTTACAAAGCTTGTCTCAGAAAAAGAGAGATATGAATTGGAGATGAAGTATTTGGAAGTTGAGTTGGGGAGGGTAGCTTGAGATGGTAGAATATATAAAAGAATATAAAAAGACTTCTTAATCTTTAACCAGCAATATGATGTTCTCTCTCTCTCTAATGAATCGATGTGGTTGCAAATTAAAGAAGTATATTGATCAGATCTGGTCAGATAAAGAATACACCCAGGTACCACCCTCGCTTTGACCGCGAGGGTGGTACGCGGGTCGAACAGTTCTTTTCTTCTTTGTAGAGTTACATCTTGAATCCTTCCTCTTTACTGGTTCTATAGCGACTGTGTCTAGCCTGCTTTTTGCAGATTGCCAAATGCAGGGCAAATTTAAAGATAGTAATATTTGACAATATAAACACTTTTAGGCTTAAAGAAGATATGAAAGTGAAGACATGAAAACATATTAATAACTTTTGTTTCAAGAGGGATCTAAACACCCCTTTAACTAGGCAGCATAATACTGCGCAAAATATTCACACAGGCTGGTTTTTTGCACAGGCTTATTTCTTTCTAATACTTCTAAAATTCATATTTTCTTGTCCATTGTCATTTGTCATAAATGAAGAATGATATAAAAAGTTTATAGTGTCGTAACTTTTACGTAAAATCCAAACTATTGGGATCCCAAACGATTATCAACTAATGTTTTAGATATTGGGATTAGGCTTGGTTTGGGAATAAGGTATATGAATGAGATAGAACCAATTGGGAGTAGGTAAAAAGGTTGGAAATTGGAAAGGATTTAAACTAAAGAGGAAGTTGGGATTGGGATGGAAATCAGCTGTAGAGAAATTTGGGATTGGAAGATTTGGTATTAGGAATCAATGAGAGCTAGGATGAAAATAAGGGTTGTTATATTGGTAGTTAGAGTGATTGGAAAGATCGGGCAAAAGAATGGATGTTTTTTGAGAACCACTGTACTGAAAGAGAATAAGCAATATTTTTAAGTTTAGTATAAAGATACCTATAGGATAAAATACTTGTGTGTAAAACTATAAGAGAATAAGTGATTTAGAGGATAAAAATGTTAAATAGGAATGAAGACGACGTTTTGGAAAGGATGAACGAATTATTGTCAGGTTAGAATAAAAGAGAGAAAGGGATATAAAAATCATCTTTAGAATCATTCAATAATCCGACTCAAGCTTTTAAGGGTACCGTTGTAAATCGAATATGGAGGTTCACGTGACATTACGATAACAGTCCCTTTTTAGGTTTTATTTTCTGCTAAAGAGACTGCTACCGTAATTACAAGTGACATTCCAATTAAAGGAGTATCTAAAANAATATCCTTTAAACACCTTTATCTGAGCAATTATGAGAAAAATATCCTTTAAACACCTTTATCTGAGCAATTATGAGAAAATATTTTGCCAATTTTATCTTTTCACTTTACGGGGTACTTTAATGAAGAATCCATTTTCGTCGAAAATTTCGTATTTTTTCGCATTTCGTTCGCTCGCGGAAAAAACGAAACAGAAATTTTCAATTATAATTTACAATAAAACTTCTAATGCTGAGCTCTCAGAGCAAAGGATTCCACAAGTTTTATGCACAATTAATTGTTGCAGCTTTTGTTTTTGCGAAAAGTATTTTCGAAAATTCCGCATCGTTTTCGCATTTTCTTGCTTAATTCATTTTTGCGAAAAAATGAGAAATAGTATGCAAGGAACAAGAATACAAATTTTCGCATTTTTCGCGAAACTTTTCGTTCGCTGGAAACCGGAGTAAATCATATAAAATAAATGGTCACTTAAAATACTTTGACAGTCCTTTTCAGAAAAAAATGAGAAGAAATTTATCCAAAACGATGGCTAAGCCAAAAAATCTAGAGATTTCCAAGATACATGACACCCGAACTTCAAAATTTTGTAAAACATTTTCGCACATTGTCCAATATTTACTGACAAAGATTGACGAAAAAATACATTTTAAACTGCTTAAAACTTATGAAGTCAATTTTTCAGTTTAAAAAAAACATCAAATTTAAAAAGACTCAAAAATCGCGTGCCTAAAAAACATGACATTTTATATATTACCAGTATGATATTGAATATTAATTTTTATTCAAAAAAATAGAAAAGCAAAAAAAATCCTCAAAGGTTAATTTTCATCTCGGTTATACAAAACAATATTACTTGGTCATTTATAAATTGTCATGTTTTGTGGAACACCCTGGTTACAGCCCTGTACAGGGTGAATTATTTACCTTTCTCTCAGCGCAAACAAATTTGAACTATTTCCATCGATCCCTACTTCAACTGAAATCAGAATTTTACTAAATTATGCATCAAACGTAAAAGAACTGAAAGTGTAATGTTCAATGACCCTCCTGGCAAAAATGGCAAAGCCAAGTTTACAACGGTATCCTTGAAAGCTTTGTCTGTTCAAATATGAATGAGATATCCATGTTTTTGGTTTTCTATAACTGTTTATTTTCAGTTGAGGTTTCTTTTAAAAAATGACTCACAAGAAGCAATGGAGAAATTTTCATATTCAAACAATTTTCGAATCTGGAAAACGACGTTATTCCTCATATTTTTAATAAGATTAAGGTTTACTCTTGTAAATCGTTCATTGCGATCTTTGCAATTAGAGTCAATTGAATTTATGGTTTAAACTTTTAAAAGATTTTCTTTCAAAACAAAAGCTTGCACTAAAGATCGTATAGATAGAATGGCTGATTCCTATGTTTTATATCGACCATCAAAAAGAAGGATAAAATTTGTACTTCTGTAAGCAGGTTTAATGAATAGCGGGGCATGGTTGAACCAGGTACATGTGGTTCAACGAATTATTTTTAGCAATTCAACCGGCTAACAAGAAAATTGGTTAAACTTGAGCTACGTTTGCGTGGTTTAGCTACTTCTTGCTATTCATAAAATCTGGTTTTTGGCAGGAAAATATATTATTGGTATGTGGGATCAGAATTAATGAAAGCAAACTAATGGCGAGACATAGTTGAACCACTTTAACTAAATTGAACCACTTCCCTTTCAGTCTCTGATCGTGTAAAGATGCGGATATTTTAATAAAAAAATAATATAATATTTTAATAAGGAAATACAGGGTTACCCGCAAAGGATGAGACTTAATGGACGACATTAAACGAATTTAACTATTCAGTCTTTCTTCTTACATTTATGCTTTTCTTTATTTGTAAATATGTTTCTTTATTCTTACAATTATGGTTTTCTTTATTTGTAAATATATTTCTTTATTCTTACATTCATGGTTTTCTTTAGTTGTAAATGTATTTCTTTATTCTTACATTTATGGTTTTCCTCAGTTGTAAATATATTTCTTTATTCTTACTTTCATAGTTTTATGCAGCTGTTAATATATTTCTTTATTCTTACATTCATGGTTTTCTTTAGTTGTAAATATATTTCTTTATTCTTACATTCATGTTTTTCTGCAGGTGTAAATATATTTCTTTATTCTTACTTTCATAGTTTTCTGCAGCTGTTAATATATTTCTTTATTCTTACATTCATGGTTTTCTGTAAATATATTTCTTTATTCTTACATTCATGGTTTTCTTTAGTTGTAAATATATTTTTTTATTCTTACATTCATTGTTTTCTGCAGTTGTAAATATATTTCTTTATTCTTACATTCATGGTTTTCTTCAGTTGTAAATATATTTCTTTATTTGCGCAATTGTTTATTATGCCATTAAATCTGCTTTATAATAAAACATTCGTATTTATGTTCCCTATAGCCGGCCAAACGGCTGGACCGAATGGGCCGACATTTTTTTGGACACTCATGGGTACCCTTGGGGTGACATAGGCCAAAATTTTTTTATATTTTTCCTTCAATTTTTTTTTCACGGGCACCCCGGCGTCCTTTAAGGCAGAAACCCAATTTTTACTTTCAGATCATCAGGTCGTCATTATAGTTTATACTTTGTGGGTCTCTTATAGACTGTAAAAAGGCTGAATAGTGTAAAGTGTAGAAATACTAGTTCTGTAGATTTTAGAAATAGTCTAAAAAGTGTGATTAATGACGTTTTTGTGCAGTTTTTATAATTGTTTTATTTTTAATGTTTCTTTTTTTGTCCTAAGGGTGGGGTGCGGCGTTTTGGAGGTTTCATAAATATATCTATTGTTTTTTCACCAAATCTTAGTGAAATTTTAGAAATTAATTTTTATATTCTTTTTGATTTTTATGAAAACTGTTTCGGGGATTTTTTTGGAGCTATGTGAATTTAAAAAATTGAAAATGATTTTAAAATATTGCAAAAATATCACACAAAAGAATTTCACTAAACTCACCCTGCAGTATCATTAAACATTTAATTTTTACATAAAACTGCCAAAATTGCCAAAATTAAAATTTATTTTGGCAAAAATAAATAAATAATTTATTTACAATCAATAAAAAATAAAAGAATCGTAAGAAAAGAAGTTAATGAACTTTTGATAAAATAAAAAATTCAATATTATTAATTATATATATTATATAAGTAAGACTAATAAAACTATGACATAAGAAGACGACATTTAGCAAACGTATATGTATTGTTATGAAATTTACTTATCAAGTGAAAAGGGTCTGTGTGCACTGCACAGTTGACGTATTTCATGTTCAGAGTCTGACTATGGCAACATATTTAAATATAATTTAATAATATTTAAATATAAAATACAATTAAGATTGCTTCAATGTCGTTCTATTCTACACTTATAAGGGTATCATAAAAATGCATATTTTTTGCAAACTTTTCAATCCTTACCTTTCTCCTGTACACTACCAAGTATATGCTCAAAATGGTGGGATTTCGCAAATTTCAGGAAACACAGAGTTAACAGAAGCGTGACCCCCATTTTTATTCTTTGCAGCTTCTAACTTCAGAATACAATTTATTTTCGTGTTTATTGACGTTATTCATTAATTAAACTTTATTTTTTTTAAATTATTTACAATTCTACGTTATAAATTAAATTAAAATATTGAAATACAAAATGAAAAACGGTATTAATAGGCCGAAAGTTTGTATAAAGTTGAATGAAACTATAAAAACATTTTCAATATGATATTAAGATTAGTATCTTCAAACCTTCAGAAAAAGAAATCTGTAAAAGGAACTGAGTTCTTTTCACAAACTCTAGCTTTCTATGCAACCTAATGTTGGGGACCTTTGATATTTAAAACTATGAATTCAGAAGTTTGATACTTTTTTATCGAGTGATCCTATATATTTATATTCATACTTTGCATGCCTGTCTGTTTGTTTGCATCCAATAAACGTCAAAACGGCTGAACCGATCGGGCCCCATTTTTATGTGGCAACTAACTTGACCCAAGGCAAGGTTTATGAATGCTTAAAGCTATAAAAAATCTCGACTTTTATTCTGTTATAAAAAGCGCACAGTTTTAAGTCTGTGTTAGAAACGTGATTTTATAATTCCTTTATCTTTGCAACACAATGTCACGGACCTTAAATATTTTAAAGTATGAATTCTGTTAGATTAAATAATCTAAGTTTGAAATATCAAAGATCTACACCACCAGGTTGCAAAGATATAAGGATTAGAAAATTGAAAAATTATTGAAAAACTAACCAACTTTAAGCAACTCAACTATTTAAGTAGAAACATTTTTTAACAAAAAAATGACATGCCATGAATACAAGTCATGTAACTGTAATTGATAAAAATATGGTTTTAAATTGTGCAAAACTTGATTTCGATCTAAATAACATTTGAACGGGAGTTGAAGTTTCAATTTCAAGATTTTATATTTCTTAATCTTTTCAATCTTATCAAAGTGTAATGGAGACACTTAGAGTATTTATGTTTATAGCAATTAGCACATGAAGATTATGAAGTGTTATGGAACTGAGTGGGGGGGGGGGAAGGACTTTAATACTCAGTTTTCTTCACTTAATAACTCATGCAAAAATAGGATTTTCTGTTCCATATTTCTTACTGTAGTAAATTTTACAATTTTTCCTCTTATGTCTTCCTACATTTTACATTACAAATAAAAGAGCGCCAAATTCGCGCCTTAAAGTATATACTTACAAAAAAAAAACTATAGTAACTCGAAATATAAAAAGTTAGAATGATAATTCGAAATATAAAAAGTTAGAATGATAGCTCGAAATATAAAAAGTTAGAATGATAACTCGAAATATAAAAGTTAGAATGATAACTCAAAATATAAAAGTTAGAATGATAACTCGAAATATAAAAAGTTAGAATGATAACTTGAAATAAAAAAAGTTAGAATGATAACTCGAAATAAAAAAAAAGTTAGAATGATAAATTGAAATATAAAAAATTAGAATGATAACTCGAAATTTAAAAGTTAGAATGATAACTCAAATTATAAAAATTTAGATGGATATGCGTGTACACACGCAAGTTTACCGCACTTACGCATTTGGACACAACCCCCATTCCTCAACCTCCCCCCCCTCCCTCCCTACCGCGCTACTAAACCTATTATTACTGTTCATTTAAACATATTAATTATTCTATAAGCAACTACACTTCAAATCAAGTTTTAATTTTACATAATAAATCAGCCTTTGAACAAATATGTTTGTGTAGATTACAAACAAAGTACACACCCCATAATGTTTATGTATATGTAAGGTATTTTTTTTTATTTTAAATATTTCAGAGTCAAACTTTTATTTTACTTAAATAGGCTTTCAGGGCGCTACGCGCCCATCCTCTATTTTAACTTTTAATTGTAGCTCTATCTGTGAGCATCTTTTTTTATTGCAGTTTAAGACAATAACAAAAGAAAGTTCATGGATTTTAAAATATTTTTTCATTTTAAAAATTGCCTTTTAACATTTAAAAGTTGGCCGGCCTAATATTCGAAAATGTGCTCTTTCTATCTCTTCTCCAAAGATTTTGAAAAATTTTTCAAATATGATTTTATTTTTGCATTTTATACAACAGAATAAAACGAATTGCGCATTTTCGACGATAAAATTGTGGTTTTTAAAAATAAATAATGTAAAATGAAATTTTTAAAGCTTAAATACACCTTTTTTAAAGACACCCTGTATATAGATACTAGATAGGAACTCGATGAAAAAGTAAGAAACTGAAATCAAATATCCATTGAAAAACTCAATCTGATAAACAAATAACTAGGAACAAACAAAAATGTGCGAAAATCGAAACTAAAAATTCATCTACTGCAATAAAACGTATCTAATGAATATTGAATAAGAAATTCCTGGAGAAGAAAAAGGGTGTCAAATTAAACTAAATTTCACATTACCGGGTTACATTTTTAATCTTAATTTGATTCAATGTTTTATTAAGTAGATAATGCAACCCAAATAGATTCAAGTACAATGGGTGGCAACAGAGAAATGGACCAATTATACATGACGTCACAAGTGTCAAATATGACAAAAAGACAACATTTTGTCCCGTTAGTTGACATGTTTTCCAAGATTAAATAAAAAAGTTTTAAACAGAAAATAAAAAACACAACATTGCATTTTTTCACTGTAAGATAAGCACTTTATTGTCCCTTTCATTAATAATCTTGTCGGACACATAAAACTGTTGGCACTTGTGACGTAAGAAGACAGATGTACTGAGAGTATACAAATTATACGTTGCCATCTATTGTACTTGATAATCTATTTGATGCAACCTGATGTCGCAACCTTTGATATTTCAAATTAGGTATTCTCTTAGACTGAATTTTCCTATGTTTGAAATATCAAAGGTTTACACCATCAGGTGGTAAAGATATATGAATAGGGATTAGAAAATTATATAAAGTGACTGCAGTATCTTACAGCTCAGAGAATCCCAGAGTAATTTTCAATTGTTATGTTTTGTGGGACCCCCTGTATATAATAAATTGATAAGTATCTTGCAGCAGTTCCTAGAGAAACCCAGAATAATTTTATATTGTTATGTTTTGTGGGACCCCCTGTATATAATAAATTGATAAGTATCTTGCAGCAGTTCCTAGAGAATCCCTGAGTAATTTTCAATTGTTATGTTTTGTGGGACACCTTATATAATACATTGATAAGTATCTTGCAGCAGCTCCTAGAGAATCCCTGAGTAATTTTATATTGTTATGTTTTGTGGGACACACTGTATATAATACATTGATAAGTATCTTGCAGCAGTTCCTAGAGAATCCCTGAGTAATTTTCTATTGTTATGTTTTGTGGGACACACTGTATATAATACATTGATAAGTATCTTGCAGCAGTTCCTGAGAATCCCAGAGTAATTTTCTATTGTTATGTTTTGTGGGACACATTGTATATTAAATTGATAAGTATCTTGGAGCTTCTAGAGAAACCCAGAGTAATTTTCTATTGTTATGTTTTGTGGAACACACTGTATATAAAGTGTCAAGAATCTTCCAGCTCAGAGAGAGAGAGAGAGAGAGAGATACCCGAAATAATTATAGACCAAGGTTGTATAATAAGACAGGTTACTCTCGATGAGCTCCAATGTACGGAAAATGTCGTCTCCTTATATGGATAACAACAACCTCATATGATGTCACTCTCGCCTCTATAATCTTAGGAGACGACATTTTCCGTACATTGGCGAGCGCATCGAGAGTAACCAACCTTATTACACAACCTTGTATAGATAATAGTTTTCAAACTGAACAGTTACTCATCCTCAAGCTATTCTCAGTATTTCGGACAATTAGATTTTCCATTGTCAAGAGGGCAGAGTGGGGGGGGGATATATAAAGGGAAGTTTCAGGGTTCTCCAGGAAGACTTTTTTCTTTCTTTGCCAAATTATTGAGCAAAACAACCAGATATATATTTAAACCAACTCTAATCTTCAGTATCATTGATTTCCATACTTTTTAGTCTGCATCGACAAAGTCTGATCCTTCTTGGATAACCCAGTAGTTTCTGGCTTTCCTTCTGTCTTTAAAGGGAGTGTTCGCGAAAATTGAAAGGGGGTATAGGCTTAATGTGATAAAAAGCGCTTTTGATCGCTACTAATCTTACTTCCATCTGTTGCGTCTATAAGAAAAAAATATTAAAAACGACTAATACCGAAGAACGTAGTGTCCATACAAAATCAGAAAGATGCAACATTCAACTTGGATCGTAAACAAATTAATTTAATTCCAAACAAATCATTCAGATATTGCAAACATAAGTCATCGATCATTTTTCGACGCATTCGTAAATAGTTGATATTTAAAACTTAGAGTCTTTGCTCCAACAGAATTCATAGTTTGAAATATGTCTTGTGAAGATATAGGGATTAAAAAATCAGAGTTTGTGGCAAAAACTCAATTCCTTTCCACACTTTTTGGTCTGCATCAAAGTCTCATCCTTCTTGGGTAACCCTGGAGTTTCTGGTTTTCCTTCTGTCTTTAAGTTCTCAAAAAAAAAGTTTTTGGAAACAAAGAAATTTAGTCTTTTTCGCAAACTCTGATTTTCTAACCCTTATATCTTTGCAAATGTCGTATACCTAAGATATTTCAAAATATGAATTCTGTTGGATCAAATAATCTAAGTTTGAAATATCATACCGTGTACACCGTCAAATTGCAAACATAAAAGGATTACAAAATATGAGTTTGTGGCAAAGACAAATTTTGGTTTTACTCACATATCATGCTCACTATTGTTGAAAAGTAAATAGAATAGAATAAATTGCATCAAAGGATATTTCTTGCAAAATCATTTTCTTTTTTTACCGATAAATTTTTTCCTTAGATATTTTTCAAAAACAACATTTTTTTCTTTCTTTCACTTTTATCATTTATCCTCATCGTCTCATCCTCATCATCTCATCCTCATCCTTATCCTCTCATCCTCGCATCCTCTCATCCTCATCCTCTCGTCTTTAAAATAATTGTC